CCCGACCCAATCTAAAAAATTCATCAATGCAAACACAGTTCACAGGTTTGTTTCAGCTTTAGGAAATTTCCAAAGAACAGAACTAGTTCAATTATTATAATTTAAAACCGAACTGTACAAACCATATAAAAGAAACTGAAGCCAAAATAAGGTTGTTCAGTTTAGTTGGGTTTATTTTAGTCAGTCTACAATGTACCTTATATCTTTTAGATAATATGCTATATAAAACCAAGATAGAAATGAATTATGTTGCACTCATTATTATAGAATATATATTCAGTACATCACACAATATACCTATTACATTTATGAAATTGGAATATACCACTTTTACCTATTTTATTCAATGTTATTTGTGCAGTTTGGTTCAGTTGAACCATTTTCTAAACCAAAAAAGAGAATCAAACCAACAACTTGTCAATCTCGGCTAAGCAAAACAGATCAAGCCCATCACCAAAGAGTTACATAACAGAACCTTATCCGTGCATCCATTTCGTTATTGGTTACCTAGGTGATGATCAAAACTAATAAAGGAAGTGCAAACGAAATAGTCAAACCAAAAACCCTGAATGAATCAACTAATAAAGGAAGTGCACCCATAAGGTTCACATTTCTACCGCGTTACTAATTTAGCGAACAATTTCCAAGCTTGAATTGATTTCCATGTCATACCCTCCACTAAGGAAAACATACATTTTAGAACCCACAACAGTATATGCACAAGCAGCTATCTCGACTCCACCGTCTCCATCATGTCGATGTCGTGCTCGTAGAAATAGTCGTGGTAACGGTGACCGTGGTCGCGGTCGTCGCCGACGACGTTCGCGGCGTCATCACTTGCTTTAGCACCACCGTCGAGATCGGGCCCTTCTTCCTCCACTCCTCCTCCTTTACGAGCTCCTTCGAGAACCGGTCGAGCTCGTCGCCGTTGGTCCGCTCTGAGATCTTTCCTCGCCCTCTGAAGAGCAGTGACTCCACGTGTCGCTGTGACAGAACGCGTTCTGCTGCCTCCACCGAGCTCTTCGAGCTCGTCGTCTTTGGCGTGCAATTTCCCGACATGAATGCGGTGTCCTACAGAGGCTATCCATGAACAATTCATCGGTTGTGGCTATAACCACGTTATTATAGGTGATAAGGGCAATAATTATGAGAAGACCCTCGTGATATCAGCTGACGCCCCGCGCCTCTGACGAGCTGACAACGCCCGACCAGCATGGGCTGGAACGCCAACCGAGGCCCATCAACGACCGCTCAGACTCGCCTCCTCACGACACGCCAACAGCAATGTCAGACGTCATCAGGGGATACGACCCTGCTCCCAGTGGGCAGGTGCATCCGGTAACACTCAAACCCCTTATAAATACCGTCGCGTTCTAAGATACGAGAGAAAAGGAAAAAAAAAGAGAGCACTCTTCTCCACATCACTAACTTGATCGTCGGAGGGGTCGGGCCGAGCTTCCGACCCGACCTGTGTGTAGGAATGAAGACGAGGCGTGTTTCACCGGACGTACAAGCGGGGAGCCCTTTCCCGGAGGAAACGACGACCCCTCTTCCCGGCCAAATTGACCAGCGGATCGACGACCTCTACTGTTCCGAGGAATCTCCCAGGGGATTCCCGTCATTCGGACCCAGAACAAGCCACGTCGGTCCCGAGGCCACGACATAAAGTTGTTTACCCCAACAGTAGGTATAGTTTGCTCACGGAAGTCGAAGGTTTACCTGTATGCGCAGGTAATTGCTTGCTCTACGGTGTCCGAATGCCGTCGCCACCGCTTGATCCACCTGACGATGATCAC